TGTGAGAAGAGTCAACAGGTCTCACCTAGATGGTCTTGGTGGGCTGTAGGCACAGTCTGTCTTACCTAGATGCTCAGTGGGTTGTAGGTACAGTCTCACCTAGACACTCAGTGGGCTGCACAGTCTCACCAAGATGCTCTTAGCAGACTGTAGGCACAGTCTGTCTCACCTAGATGCTCAGTGGGTTGTAGGCACAGTCTCACTTAGATACTTAGTGGTCTGCACAGTCTCACCTAGATGCTCTTAGTGGACTGTAGGCACAGTCTGTCCCATCTAGATGCTCAGTGGGTTGTAGGCACAGTCTCACTTAGATACTTAGTGGGCTGCACAGTCTCACCTAGATGCTCTTAGCAGACTGTAGGCACAATCTCATATAGATGTTTTTAGCGGTCTGTAGGCATAGTCTCACATAGATGCTCTTAGCAGACTGTAGACACAATCTCACATAGATGCTCTTAGTGGGCTGCAGACACAGTATCACTAATTGTTCTTAGTGGGCTCTAGGCAGCTTTTTATAAACTAAACCAAACAATCAAAAGACAACAGTAACAAGACATGGTGGAAAAGATAAGACCTAGAACTGAGCCTTCTGCAGAGTGGAGACACTTTCTTCCATTGGCTCTCACTTAGGAGTTACTCATTGGAGTGTTACCTTATCATTTATTTTTGGGTTCCTGTCAAGAAATAAGTGGACCAGAGAAGACCAAGAGCAGATAAGGAAACAAGAACAGACCATGGGGTGGGAAGTAGTCAGCATGTAGGTGAGCTCAGGGGATACTCAAGAGCACAGGTGTTATCTTCTGTTAAGTAAGATAACCAGCTGATCATGGATAATCGTTGGTTTCAACTATTTGAATGTACTTTATAAAAAATTGACTATTTCCTAGTAACAAAATAGTAAAGAGCTACAGATACAAAAACTACTTGATTTAATGTCACTGTGGACCCAAACTACAAAAGGAAGCTATGTAATATGGGAAAACTAAACTGATGCTGGGAGGGAAGTGGTGGAGTGAGAGAGAAGAAAAAGAGTATAGAGAGTTATAAAAAATAAATAAATTATTAAAAAATAAAGTCTTTAAAGATACAGAATATAGACAATCATAGATTAAAGGAGTAAAGATAATAAAACAAATATTAAAAAGTAATATAATAAAAAAACAAGCCATGTAAACATGAAATATACAAAGAGAGTCTGGACTATAGATATTATTATGCTGTCTTTGAATTTTTTGGACTATAAAGAAGCTAAGTACAAAGAGACATTTTATTGTATGGGCTGCTAAGCTAAACCAGCATGTATATTTATAAAGGTATCTTGACTTCAGAATTTGGGTCTAAGGATATGTTGCCTTAGAAAAGAGGTTCTTCTTTTGTTTCCACAGAGGATGAGAACCTGTGGATTGGTTCCAGACTAATATGGTTTGATAAACCAAGACCCCTTGAAAGGTTGCCTTGAACACCCCTCAAAAAATTACTTCACCTGACTGCTGACTGAGAGGAACCTAGTACACAGGATACACCATAAAAGACCTGATTAACAGGACCCCCAAACAGCAGAAAGTAGTCTAGAGAACTATGCCCAAATTCACAAATATTTTTATAATATTTTTTTACATTTATAAATGTAAAATACATTTATAAATATTTCTTTACATTGATACAAATTTAAGATCAATTTTGTTATACTGTATATATGTATATATATATGTATATATATCTTCTCTTGATTAAGATATTGTAATTGTGAAGTTCATTTAACAAATATAATATTTAACTAAGAAATATAGGTCCATAGATAATTATCTATAATAGTCAAGCTTGTAGTCATGTTAGTTAGGTTTTCTAGCTATATCAAGATATATTTCAGTTAGATAAGTATTCTTCAAATTTTTCAGAGACCTACAGAATATGGTATTTAAAATGTTTAAGAACTTAGGACTTTTCATGACAGTGAGACACATTTGCTCTTGGCAGCCCCAATCTACTTCAAGAAGAAGATGGGCATCGAAGTGGCTTCTTATGGCATTGGTTAGTCATTTGGGCAAAACAACTGTTCTTGCCTGGACTGCTTGATAAACTGGATGTGCAGGACCTGCAAAAGAAATGACTGCTAAACTTGCCTAAAGAAAATATGATCCTTTGGGGTTCCTGCTTCATTAAAGAGTCTGCTGGGCATTCTATAGGACACAGATGAAATTTCCTGCTTTGTAAAATGTCTGCCAAACACTATGGGCCAGTAGGCTAAAAATGGATGCCCCAATGATACAAAAAAAAAAACCTTTGGGTGACTGTCCAGACAGTGAGATGGCTCTGTCAATTCATGAGCTTTGGAAGTTGCTTCAATGCACTTCCTGTTAACTTAGGTAATATTGTATCCTTCTGGAGTCTTTAATGGAGTTGAAGAATTGATATAGTTTTCCTTAGTCATTATAAAGATAAAATAGATATAAAAATTGTAACTATAATTCTTGCTTGATAACTGTTTTGTTATAGGTACTTTTACTATGATAAAGATAAAGCCTTCTTTTTTATTTAAACAGAAAAGGGGAGGAGATGTGGAATTCCCCTCTGTATTCTGTGAATACCATTGGTGAATAAAGAAACTGTCTTGAGCCCGTGATAGGGTAGAGTAGAAGCAGGCAGGGAAAACTAAATTGAATGCTGAGGGGAAGGAGGTGGCGTGAGAGATAAGCCATGTAGCCCCACTGGAGACAGACACTGGAATTTTACTCAGTAGGCCACAGCCACATGGCGATACATAGATTACTAGAAATGAGTTAAATTAAGATGTAAGAGTTAGCCAATAAGAAGCAAGAGCTAATGGGCCAAGCAGTGATTTAAATAACATAGTTTCTGTGTGATTATTTTGGGACTGAGCAGTTGGGAACTAACTAGCGGCCTTCTTAAAACAGCTATGTGTTCTTCCTGTTTTGTGTATTTATTCACTGATAAATGTTTCCTGTAATACAACATGTATTTGTGCAGACACATGAGGTTACAAAATGAGTTTGTTATTGTTACACCTCTTTCAATATCTATGCACAGCTTCAGAGTCATATGTACTCATCTTATTGCCGCTCATATCCATAATAATATCAACAGCAATTTGAGCACACTTGGGGCCTCATTCACTTTGTTAATCTTCAGAAATGATCTTCACTCATGCCTAGTCTTTTTCTCTAATCTCTATGGATATATGAGAATTATAAGATGGAAATGTAAGGAAACTTGTTATTTCATGAACAGAAATACAGTTTATAAATGTTGACTGTGTGCCTGTTAAAAGAATACAGAGATGTTATTTTGTGGATTTAAATTATTTATTGCTTTTCTTTCTTTTCTTATTTATCTTTTTCGGGAATGTCTACACCAGAGAGCATGTGAGGGGGTGAGAAGACAGTTTATAGGACCTAGTACTCTGTCTACCAAATGGTTCCAGAGGATTAACTTCAGGTCCTCAGGCTTAACAGCAAGCACCTTTATCAACTGAGCCATCTTGGCAGCTTTACCTTCCCAAATGCAGGGATCCTCTGACATCTCCATCCTTCATTTTCTCTGCCTTAACCCCACTGCTTTCCTCTAATAGGGTTCTAGGATTACATTAAACCTGCTGGAAATTTTCAGCAAAATCTCTCTTTGTCAAAACTCTTAACTTAATCATGTACATAATGACTCTTTATCATGGAAGGAAACATGTACACAATATCCAGAGATTAGAAGTTCAATGTAGTGGCATACTCCAAGAACTTGAAGGATGGAGACAGGGAGAACATAAATTAAAGGTAATTCTCAGATCTACAGAAAATTCAAGGTTAGTGTAGACCACATGAGTCCCTATTCAAGAGAGAGAGAGAAAGAGAAAATATTGAGAAATCAGATTGTAGACCTTCTTAGACTGCCAGTTTTCAGCTAAATATGAAGAGCTGCACAATTTTTGTCTTGCCTCTTGGCTTAGAATATTCTGAATCACACAATTACTAGTGTGAGACAATTTCCATATTTCTAACACAAGAGTTTTGTGAATTACTTTGAAATTTGCAATTATTCTACTCTTCGGTGTTATTTTCTTAGTGATAAAATCATGTGTTTTACTGACAGAGTCAGTCACACCAGAATGTGGACCTGTCATTGGCTTTGTTTCTCTTGGGAGAGGCTACATCTCTGGTGATTAGAATATAGAAGAACAAAGTCAGGTTTTTTTTTCATCTAAATATTCATTCTCCTATGTCTTAATGAAGAGCTACTTCAATTTCTCAGCTTCCTCAACTGTACTTAGAAATAATTATAGTGTTTACTACAAACACTTATTGTGCTAATTGAATATGCAGAAGTGGTTTTAAATAACTCAAATCTGCCAATTATTTCCCACGTGTGAAATTATCGTAAAGATTAGATAAAGCCATAGTGTAAGTTCAATAGTGAATCACCAGTACATCCATGCTTCTACTTCATCAGCATTTTCCGCAGTACACATAACAATGTGAAGAAGTCAAGTGGAGTCAAGAACTGTTGGCTCTTAGCTTCAAACTTAGTGTTTGAAGGGAAAAACAAAAATGTAAGAAAGGTTAACAATGTTTTTAAAGATGGGTTCATTTACTCCAATAATGAATTCACAACAATAGTAGCTGCAGGCTTTTAAATATTACAAAGTGTTTTTAAATATATGATCTCATGGGGCCATCTTGCTAACCCAATATAATATCTAACACCTGATGACAATTTGATTATTCACTCTGACCAGCCTATCATGCCCCTTCTTACATCTTGACATTGCAGCCCTTGACTTCATTGGGACCTTTAAATACTCATTTGTTTCCCAGGCAAATTGAGCTATTCCACTCCAGTGCTTATAGTAAAAAGAATAGAAACTTGTGGAATCATCTTCCTCTCTCACAAATGAAGCAACAGCAGAGCAGTACAGCACATCAGCTGTTTCAAGTTCCTCAAATGAGTTTTATTTTTGCAAAACAAGCCCTCTGACTTCCCACATTCGTTGAGCTGCATTATGAGCAACATGACCAGCAGCGACATTTGTTGTAATTTTTTCAATATGTGGAAAAAAAGCAAAATATCAACCATGTATTATCTTAATCAAGATGCCAAATTATCTAACTTGTTTCTCCAGGCAAGCAGCCCAACGACAGGGACAGCTCCCAGGAGCCAGTCAAGGTTATCTGTCTGCCCGTCTACTCAGGACATCTGCAGGTAAGTCCCGGGTAAATGACCCTATTTAATATTTCTTAGACCAGTGTGTAGTAGTTTTGTTTCGTGAGCTGAGAATCAGTGGCTCTTGCTTCTACTTTGTGTTGTCCGTGGATTTCATGCCCCATCGCCCACTTAGTTTTTCTTCAGTCTGTCTTTATTTAACAACTTCTGGCCATGCTGTCATTTTTCATCATTCTTTCTCTCTCTCTCTTTATCTTCCCATGACTTTCCTTTCCATTCCTACTTCCCACCCTTTGCCTGGTGTCTTCCTTGTCTAGATCTTCCATCCTGCATGACATGTCAGAAGATGCATTTGAGCACGGCAACCCTGTCATGGTGCTGAGCCAGGCTAGAAAGGAGTCTGGTCAGAAACCAGTAAAACAGAAGCCTAGGAGGAGGAGGAGGAGGGTCTCTCAGAGATATGAGCACTCAGAAGAGCAAGCAAAGGGGAGAAGAAAGGACTTTCACCTCCAGATCTCAAGTCCCAGGTGGAGAGAACTTAATACGGACACTTCAGATTCATCCTCCACAGATGAAAGTCACTGGGTTCAGGCAAAAAGGCAGGCTCAGGTTAAATTCAGACTGTCTCGAAGAAGGAGAAGTAACAATAAGCCATGTGGAAGCTTGGCTGGGTCCTCCACGCCTGACAGAATCGAACTTGTTGAGCTGGGATCCAAAGGTGAACAGCACCAAGAGCTGATGGAATGTGAGAGTCATTCTTTAAACATCTGTAAAGGAAAAGTCACAAAGTACCAAGGATGCATCTCTCCCCTGCCAAGGGGGTCCATGGAGAAGAGACCCCCAGGGAACCCTTCAGGGAGTAAAGGCAGACGCTGCCCCAGAGAATCTCAGCTCTTGCACAAACTTAGGGAGAAAGAAACAATTACAAAAAGATTTGCAGAAACGGATTCCGATTCTGAAATGCTGGCAGCTACAGAAGGGGGCGAGCGTGTGGCAGACTTGGGGCTCCGAGTGAGTAGCCCTGCTCAGAAGCCTATTGATGTCTGTGATGATGGCTCTGATAATTTCACAGTGTGCAGGTCAGTAGCTAAAAGGAAAAAAAACTTGAGGGCACCCAAATACACTTCTGCCTGGGAGCTCAGTGTGTGTGTTTGAACATTCCTCAAAGCATGACATTCACTTGTACCATTATGAAGTGGCTATAAAATGGAAAGCAGAAGGCTATGAACCTAGGCACAAAAGCATAAGATTTATTCTCTACCTTTTAGTTAATGGCTTATTCTGAACTAGAGATGGAAAAAGCAACTGAGTTTTGTATTCTGCCTCAAACCATGGTGATGGAAGCTATAGGAGAGAGACTGTGTGCAAATGTTCAGTTCAAATATGGTCAATTTTCTGCAGCCTGACAGAAAGATATTCAAGCCAGAGGTTTTTAAAGGTCAGGTTTTTGCCTCAGAAAAATCTTCTCTGCTGTTAGCTGTAATTTGTTCTTCGGTTGTCTGACTCAGCAGGGTAACTCAGGAGGCAAAGGACAGGGACATAGGTCTTGGGCTTTTGTCTGGGTGCCAGAGTCTCTAGGGAAAAGGAGCCTCATTCACTGACAATCATGCACTGGTGATTCTGAACCCTGGGGATGTTTCACATCAACAAGACCATTTCGTTCTGTTTTTTGTTTGGTTGGTTTTGGTTTTTACCACAAAGCGTATATATTTTAAAAAGATAAGTTATGTTGAAAAGAATTAATGAGATTTCTATTATTGTCGGCATAAGACAAACTAATTTTTTGCATTACACTGAATTCTGGGACCAAGTAAAGATTTCCATTGCATATTGTTTATTTGGTCTTGTTTTTTATAAATGCTGTCACTGTTTTTTATAAAACCTACTATGTGCATGCATGGGAAATACAAACTAGCTAATGTAGTCCATATCCACTCAGGCCAAAACAAGAAGCATTAAGGTCTGGTTGAGAATAACAGGATAACCTGGAATCTGAAAGTTGTATCAGACAATTATTCATGAAACTTTCATTTGTTCCATTGTTTAAGTGTATTATGCACTGGGCTTTCTTCTGAGCATTGAATGTTTATAGTGCATGGTATTTGCATAGATTCTGATATGGTAGCACTTATAATTGGGTAAAGACCATAAGCACAAAAATTATTCCACAGTTGTGCATATTTGCACACAATGGAAGATTTAGAAATATATAATACAGGAGCCCAAGTTTCTCTAGAAATCAGAGGGCAATTCAAAGGACAAAGGGAACTGATGAAAGTAAGAAGCATGAAGCCCATCCTGCAGAGGATGTTGTCCACAGGAAGCCAAGAAGAGTGAGAGACTTGGCAGGAATGTGGCAGTCCAGACCAAGTGCCTGCTGCAGTGGCCAGGATGTGGTGAGTGCCAGGAGCGGGTGGTAGAGATTCAGATGAAGAAGCGGAATAGGCCAGAATTTCCATGGCCATAAAGCATTCTAGGGAATTGTAGAGGTTTAGAAGTGAAGTGAGAAAGACTAGGGAAGTGGTTCCATGGTCAGGGTTCCCATGGTAAATGCATGATGCTCTGAATTCAGATCCAGAGCACACGTTTTCAAAACATCTGCTGCAGCAGCTTGTACCTAAAATCTCAACATTGGGGAGGCAGAGGCAGGAGGATTCTTAAAGCTTCCTGGTTAGCTATGCTAGCCAAGTCAGTAAGCTCCTGCTAATACTTAGAGATTCTGTCTCAAAATACAAGGTGAAGGGCCAGCAGGATGCCTCACTGTGGAAGAGTACTTACCACCAAATCTAAAGACCTGAGTTCAGTCACCAGGACTCACATTATGGAAGGACAGAACCAACTCTCCTATGTTGTCTTCTGACTCCCACATATATGCACAATAGAAAGCATGTGCCTATACACACACACATACATGTGTGTGCACAAATAAATAAATACATAAATCAGCAAATGCAATAATTATGTTTTATAATAATAATAATAAGGTGGAGAGCAATAGGTGAAGAAATTTGATCCCTGACTTCACATATACATGCATATATATGCACCCACATATACATATATGATACACATAAAACACAGACATTGCAAGTAAAGTGGCATCATGTGATTTACATAGGAATGTATGTTTCTTACAATTTTTTGAATATGATAATTGTGTGTCTTTACCGAAAGCTTATACTATTTGTGATCTATACTGAGAATGTCCCACTTAAACGCTTGTCATTCCCCAAATCTACTTCTAATATTATTTAATAAATGATACTCATAGATGCTGTTTTCCTGGTAACTGGAGGGTAAAAGTAATAGTTGCAGCTAGAGTCAAAGTGACAGGTTCCCAAACCTCACAAGCCCTGCTTTGTGTGCCTGTGCGTTGGGTGCGAGGATAAGAAATTTATTTAGCTTAGGCTTCTACAAGTGAGAGGAAGATCAAAGGCTCTATAGGTATTCTTTTCTGCTGTGTGCTGCCGTCAAAATAATCAGCAAAGCAGCATATCCTACTGGATGCTGAGGAACAAAAGTATCAAGAGACATGACATTTCCTTTAGCTGGTCTGTTGTCTAAGTGGGAGACATTGAATGTACACATGAAAAGACAAAGACTTAAGAGAGTGACGGTTAAGTGTAAATAGAGAAATCCTTCAAAATATTCTGAGGGAAAAAAAATATTGTCCTATTCTGAGATGACGCCAAAATCCCTTGAGATGAGGGGGAACTGGAGCTAGGCAAAGTGAACTTTAGCTTGGTAGAGAAGCATGGATGGAGCTGCAGGCCTTCAATCTGGTGCAAACGCCACTAGGTCAGACAACAGTCTGCACTGGCGTTCCTGTGAATTTTTCTGGGTAAATTGGAAGAATAACACGGGCTAATAAAATTTTCAAAGAATTGTGGAGAAAATACAGAATCATTCCTAGATGTTTAGCTCTGTTCTATTAATCTCTACTTCCCAATGGCCTGCATGAGTATCATTTTTAATTAATTTATTGATTTATTTTTAAAAAATATCTTTTAACATTTTACATACCAGTCCTAGTCCCCACTCCTTCCCCTCCTCCCGCTCCCTTCACTTCCTTGTCCCCCAACCCTATCCACTCATCAGAGAGGGTAAGGTTTTCTTCCCATGGGAAGTTATCCAAGTCTAGCACATTGCCTTGAGGCAGAACCAAGACTCTCTCTACTATATGTAGGCTGAGCAGGGTATCCCTCCAAAGGAAATGGGTTCCAAAAAGCCAGTACGAGCAGTAAGGATAAATTCTTGTCTCATTGCCAGTGGCCCCACAGTCTGCCCCAACCACGCCACTGTCACTCACATTCTGAGGGCCTACTTTGGTCTTATGCTGGTGGTTCCTCCCACTGTCAGTCCAGAGTCAGTGAGCTCCCATTAGCTCAGGTGAGCTGTTTCTGTGGGTTTCCCCATCATGGTCTTGACCTCTTTGTTCATATTATCACTCCTCTCATTCTTTGACTGGACTTTGGGAGCTCAGTCCAGTGTTTCACTGTGGATCTCTGCATCTGCCTCCATCAGTTGTTGGATGGAGGTTCTATGATGACATTTAAGATAGTCATCAATCTGACTACAGGGCAAGGTCAGTTCAGGCACCTTCTCCACAATTACTTAGGGTCTTAGCTGGGGTCATTCTTGTGGATTCCTGGGAATTTCTCTAATACCAGGATTCTTGGCAATGCCATAATGGCTCCATCAATCAAGATATCTCTTTCCTTGTTCTCCCTCCCTGTCCTTCCCCCATCTCAACCATCTTGTTCCCTCAAGTTCTCCTTCTTGTGAGTTTTTTACCTTAAAAGCTGAGATTGGTCAGAAAAAGTGTGCTACCTTTAGCCCATCTGGAGACAGAGAATGCTTATCACTGGCTTTCTTATATCGCATAGGAGTCATGATATTTCTTTAAAGAATAAAAAGTTCCAGTTCAAAAATAAATACAGAAAAGATCTTGATAATTAAAGTAGACTAGAAGAGATGCATAGAAGCCACCATTTCCCTGGTGATGTACTGTCAACGGGACCTGGTATATCCACCCGGGGCAGAGTATCCACCCGTGAGTTCAGTCAGATACAATGATACCATTAGTGCAAGGGAGAATGAATGTTGTGCTGGTAGTCCAGAAAGTGAACAGGAACCATCTTATTTGTTAGATTTAGTGAGAGTCTAAGTCAAAGTTGCTAAATACCATGGCAACTATGGGAGCCTGAGAAATGGGAGATACTGATATTGACATCAGAGGCCAACTGACTGGAGAAAGGTGTGACGAATCCCATTAGAAGCACACCGTTACAGAGCCCAGTGGCATTCCAGAGAGAGTTGTCCATCAGTCAATCATAGGCATGTTGTGATCAACTCTGGAGACATGCACATAAAGCATCACTAAACAGACTCCATAAGTTATATATACATGTGTGCATGTGTGTGTACATATGTATAACAATAATAATTAAAAGAGGCCACAGTTTTGTAAAGGGTGATACCAGAGGGGAAGGGAGGATAAGCAGAAGTGATCTAGATGTGGGTCTCATGTCTAAAACTCTAGAAACATAGACTAATAATAAGTATGTCATTGAAACATAGGACCGTTTGAACTGATTATAATTTTCCAGTAATTAGTGAGCTACACACCGCAATACCAAACAACTGTGTATGTGTAATTCACGCAGGTTGGTATAATAATAATAGGATATACTAACAAGAGAAAGTTATTAAACATGGAAGCTCTTCTCAAGGCCAGGGAAGATAGAAAGATTTGGGGATCATTCTGAGAGGGGTGTCAGTGTACTTGAAAAAGAAAATTAAATCTCTACACACAGTCCTGTGTAGGAGAGATGCTTCCAGAGGGACCATAGACACCAGGTTCCCCTGCACAGAAAGGAAGCTAAGGACAAGAGAAGCAGCAGATGCCTGTGAACTTGCAGTTCTGTTGTTTCAGACATGCAAAGGCAGGACCAGCCTTAGTCACAACCACGAAGAAGAAGCGACCCTGGAGCCCTTCCTCCTTTTCTGTTCCTGGCATTTGGTCCCCATGTGGACACCATATCCTCTTTCACACACTTGAAAAATATTGCTATTAACC